AAGATACTAAAGTTGGCAAGAGGGAAATGTCAAGTTACTTACAAAGGTCACCCCACCAGGCTAACATCGGATCTCTTGGCGGAAGCAATGCAGGTAAGGAAAGAATGGGGAAGTATAGTCAAAGTGTTGAGTGAAAAACAATTTCAACCAAGAATACTATACCCGGCAAAATAATCATTCATAAGGGAAAAAAAGGCAAAACATTCTCAGATAAACAAAATTTGAAGGAATTTATCAACTCCAGACCAGCTCTTCAAGAGGTTCTGAAGGGAGTACTATACCAGGAAAACTAAAAAGTCAGACAGACAGTTATACGAGAACAAAAAGCAACCAAGAAAATAGCTCATTTAACGATAGGATCAGGTACAGAAATATCGATAATTATATTGAATGTCAGTGGATTAAATTTTCCAGTTAAGAGACATAAACTTGCTGAATGGATAAAAAACCAGAAATTTTTTATCTGTTGCCTACACAAAACCCACCTTTTGGATAAAGACACACATAGACTACAAGTAAAGGGCTGGAAAAAGATATTCCATGCAAATGGAAATCAAAAAAAGGTTGGAGTAGCGATTGTGATCTCAGAAAAAAATAGATTTCAAGATAAAGAGTGTAAGAAGAGACATAGAAGGACATTATATAATAGTAAATGGAGTAATCCAGCAAGAAGACATATCCCTAATAAATACCTGTTTACCCAACTCAGGTGCACCTAAATATGTGAAGGAAAGACTACTGGAGCTAAAAGAAGAGATAGGGAGAAATACTATAATTGTCAGAGATCTCAACGCCCCATTATCTACTTTAAACAGATCTTCTTGACAGAAAATAGAGAAATACAGTACCTAAATGATACTATAAATCAAATGGGTTTGACAGATATCTATAGAACTTTCCACGCTACATTCACAACATATATATTTTTCTCACCTTTGCATGGAACCTTCTCAATGATTGATTACATGTTAGGACACAAATCAAGCCTTTACAGATTCAAAGGCATAGAAACTGTACCCAGCATCTTCTCTGACCATGATGGAATTAAATTTGATTAATTTCAGGAAACAACCCTGAAAATACACAAATACATGGAAAATGAACAACCTACTTCTGAATGACTTCTTCACTACTGAAGAAATTAGGGCTGAATTTTAAAAAATCATGGAAACAGATGATAATGATTACACAAGTGTCCGTAATCTATGGGACACAGAAAAAGCAATCATAAGAGGGAAATTTATAGCAATTATTCTGCATAAGAAAAGGATGAAAAGATGACAAATCGATAACCTACCATCATGCTGAGGGAATTGGATAAACACCAACAAACGAACCCCAAAAATGCCAGGCGAAATGAAATAATAAAGATTTGAGCAGAAATAAATGAAATAGAAAATAAATGAACCATACAGAAAATAAATCAAAGCAGAAGCTTTTTTTTGGAATAGACTAACAAGATCGACACACCATTGGCTAGACTGATCAAGAAGAAGAAATAAAGAAACCAGATTAATCAAATATGCAATGAAACAGACAATATTACAACACACATAGTAGAAATACAAAATATCATTAGAGAATACTATGAGTGACTATATGCCAATAAACAGGATAACTTGGAGGAGATGGGCAAATTCCTACACTCTATAGCAAAAAAAAAAAAAAAAAAAAAAAAAAAAAAAAAAAAACACCCCACAAAAAAAAAAAAAAAAAAAAAAAAAAAAAAAAAAAAAAAAAAAAAAAAAACCCGGTCTAGATAACTTCACTTCTGAATTCTACAAAACTTTTAAGGAAGAGTTAACCCCTAGCCTACTAAAATTATTTCTAAAGATTCAAAAGGAAAGACTCTCCAAATTAATTTTATAAAGCCTCCATCATCTTCATTACCAAAACAGATAAGGACATGAAAAAAATGGAAAACTACAGACCAATATCATTGATGAATATAGATGCAAAAATTCTCAACAAGATATTCGCAAATTGTATCCAACAACATATAACAGAGATTATTCATCATGACCAGGTAGGCTTTATCCCAGGGATGCAAGGGTGGTTCAACATAGCCAGGACCATAAATGTAATACATCACTTTAACAGAAAGAAAGATAAAAAACCACATGATCATATCAATTGATTCAGAGAAAGCATTTGATGAAATACAACATCCTTTTATGATTAAGGCCCTCAGGAAGATTGGTATAGAAGGGTAATTTCTTAACACAATAAAAACCATCTATGAAAAACTTACAGTTAGCATTACACTGAATGTGGAAAAACTAAAAGCTTTTCTGCTAAAAACGGATACTAGGCAAGGCTGCCCACTCTCTCCACTGCTCTTTAATATAGTACCTGAAGTCTTAGCTAATGCAATCAGAGAAGAGAACAATATAAAAGGCATGCAAATAGGCAAAGAAAAGTTGAAAATATCTGTATTTGCAGATGACATGATGATATACTTAGAAGATCCGAAGGTATCCATGAAAAAAACTACTTGAAATAACAAGTGAATACAGTAAACTGGCAGGATACAAAATCAATATCCTAAAATCTATAGCATTTCTATATATAAATAACAAGTTGAATGAAGTCGAGCTGAAAAAAGGAATCCCTTTCACCATAGCCACAAGATGTATAATATACCTAGGGATAAATCTAACTAAGAAAGTCAAAGACCTTTATAGTGAAAATAATAAAAATCTTAAAGACGATATTGAAAGTGACATAAAAAAGTGAGAGGAGGGAACTAGCAGTTAGCGTAATGGCTATGTCGCTGGACTCCCACGTAGTCGACCGCGGTTCTTGTCCCGGACCCGTTGGCTTAAAACTCACGCTGGGCGCGTGTGCGTGTGTGCCCAAGATCCCGAGAGGAGAATGGAGGAGAAGGGATTGCGGC